CAGGCTTTTATTTTTCTATTTTAAAACATTATGTGATGAAAAGGTATAAATATGCCCCTTTCCACTGGGAAAGTGAATGTAGTGTACCTTTAATATTTATTTAACCCTCCTATTATCTTTGGGGTCAGTTTGACCTAAAGAAGTATCAACATTTCACACATATTTGTTTTAGTTGTTTTGGGTGATACTGAGGTCACTATAACATACAATTTTATAATCTTCAAAAAAAAAAAACCCTGCTTTAGGGCCCAGACCTAACATAACCATACCTGTAGTTAGGGGTGGGAATCTTTAGGCACCTCACGATTCGATTCGATTACGATTCAGAGGGCTGCGATGCGATTATAAAACGATTATCGATGCATCTCGATGCATCTTTTTTTCTCTATACAGGATTTCTATCTTCCTCCTGTCTAAAAACTTGGTAGTTTTAAAGCAAAGTATTTGTAATGATCCATAAAGTAAATGCATTATGGATCATTACAAATACTTTGCTTTAAATATCTAAAATATCTTTTATTAATAAATCAAATGGAGGTGATGTGGCAAGTGAACTAGAAGGCTCTCATTCAGAGACGCTGCTGCCACTCATCTGCGATAAAATGCGCTGTTAGGGTGAAATAAGATCCAGTGGTATCGGGTGTCCACGTAGCAGGTTACAGCCATCCTTCCCGTTTTCTTTAGTGATCTTATAACTTCGGTTTTGGTCTCGTTGTAGAGAGGGAGAGGGGGAGGGGGAGGGGGAGGGGGAGGGTATTTTCGAGACTGGACGGTGAATCTCAGCTGACTGCGAAAAGACAGCAGACAGCAGGTCACATAGCACCGAAGTCTGGCCTCGCCAGTAGCGAACGAAAAAACAGAGATTAAGACGAACATTTGGAGGACTTATTCGCATTTATAAGCAGCGCGGTTGGTTAAATCTGCAACGAGAGACTGTCTTTCTCTAAAAAGTTGCGAAAATGAACTCGCTTCTCTTTCGAATTTTCCCGTTCCACCTTAAATGGTGCAGCAGTTACATTCGGCGCCTAAGGCAGAATTTAAGGTGGAACGGGAAAATTAGAACGAGAAGCTGGCGAATGAGAAGCGACTTCAGCCTCGTAAAACAGCCGGATGCTGAGACATTTTACAAGAAACTCGTCTAGTTTTGAAGAAAGGTTTTCTGGCGGAGATGGAAGGAAAGCGGCTAAAGCTAAAGCTTAAAGCAGAGCGAAGTAGATCTGCGTTTCCGTTTATGTTGTTTACTCTATACTAGGACATCAGCGCATACTGAAACATACTGGACATTAAATGTTGTGGCTCCCGAGGTGGTTTGATTTATGTTAAAGGACAAAATGGCTCTTCTTATCATTTGTGTTGTGACTCCTGATCTAACCTGGCTTTAATGCAGAGGGAGCCGGTCGGATTTCTCACTCATCCAGTTGTTTTTGTTATGTTCTGCCACAGACTGTCCGGGCGCTGCACTTACCCACTTCCAAGTTCCGCCTTTTGCGTTCCGTCAACGTTTTGCGTTCCGTCAACGTTACGTTTTAAATTAAATATTTAGAAAATCGATTTTTGACATCTATGAATCGATTCAGAATCGTTCACGTCCGCATCGCGATGCATCTAAGAATCGAGTTTTTCCCGCACCCCTACCTGTAGTAGTGTGAGAACCACAGATATTTCACATGATATTTGCGAGGAAAAAAAAAAACATAATTCCCATAAGAACTTTTATATTTCCTGGAGGTTTAAATTGCTGGGGTCAAACTGACCCCAAGGATAAAATATGTTAGTATATTTGAGGATAACTGGAGGGTTAAGATGCATAACTGGACCTTAAGACCACTGTTTGTACCTTAAACAAAAATGTACTATACAGTTTTTTTCTAATGATGTAGACGTGTGAGTCTTTGAGCTGACAGCAACTCGATTCAAAAGTGATTTTTGTAAATTAGATTTGATTCAATACACTAAACTGTGATTCGATTCGGCTAGTCAAGCTTCTTTAAGAAAAATGATAATGCAATAAAAGTATCAAAAATATCAGCCAATCCAAATAATTTGGCCACAACATGCTTCTAACAGAGAAAACATTTGCAAAGTTTACACACTGCCAATGTTTTGTGTCACTCATGGTACAATTATGAGGGGCTGAGCAGCGGCTGCTGAGAAAGAAGGCCTATATTTTGGATAACATACTTCTGAGAATATTAAAAAAAAAAAAATCTCTTACAGTATTGACATTGAGTCTGCGCCTCCTCTGCTACTCTGCATTTGGGGTGGATGCTCTTTAGCTTCCAAGGCACTGCAGCCCTCAGGTCAGACTGTTTTGTGAGTTCAAGTCACTTCTTCACTTTGTGTGCAGCAGTATTATGTGATTATTAGCTAACTGGTGTACAGTGCATCCACATATGTAGCGCTGGCTTGTCAAAGTCTTAATTAAAGCCAAGATAGATAACATTCGTTTGGTTTATTTATGATCAGCGATGCCTGGGCAGTGGCTTGCAAATCTCTTTGCATCTCTCTGTCATTTGTGAAGACGGACTGAGAATATTACATGCATTTGTATAAACATCGTATGTATCAAGTTTTTTTGTTGTTGGAAAAGTGTAAATCATTTCAATCCGTAGCATTTAAAATTGATTTATGACCAACGCAGTATTTTTTTTTTTTTTTACAATTTGTTCAGTTGTATTGGGAGGAACTCTAAATGATGTGTTGAGAAAATGAATGAATCGTTACACCACTACTCCAAAGAACTTGTTTCCACTGCTCCACAGTCCAATGCCAGGGAGCTTTACACCCCTTTCCCTGACACTTGGTATTTGGCATGGTAGTCTCAGTACAAGACGCCTTGAATTCCGCAAGAACATCTGGTGACAGGGAAATTAGACTTTGGAACTGAATGCAGCAGGATCTGCCTGGATGCCACGGCCTTCATCACAAGAAGTCCTGCTTATACGTCCAGAGTGACTATCCCCTAAAAAAGCCCCCATTGGAAGTGGCAAGCTTTAGGTAAGACATATACTTCGCTGGCTTTCTAACTTTCTGGGATATGAAACAGATTTTAAAGAGAATGAATTTGACACTTAGTGTATGTTCCATTTGCTAAAACATGCTAATGACATCCACCAAGACTTCATCAACAGGCATTTGTGTTAGTGGAAGAAGCTTGCACTAATGGAGACTTTGAATCTCTCTTTTTTCCCCTCCCTCTCGCCCTCTCCCACGGACGCGAGAGAAATAACAACCGAATGTATTTGCCATTACAGGCACCCTTCTTTTGTTTTGCTGCTGCAGAGGGCAGTGAGAATGTGAAGCAGGGAGATAAGGATATTAGAGGCAGTGGAGGCTTTAAGCTCACTGGGATACTGCCTCTGAGGATTGAGAGAGAAGAGAGAGATGCATCCGCTTGATGCCGTTTGATCAGCACAAAGCAAGCTTTTTCTTGCTTTCTCTTAAAACACAAATAAACCGACAGACGAATGCCAAAATTTGCCATCAAAAAACTGCCAAGGCAGATGATGCTAGTAATGTTTGATCCAAAACTCTGCAGCAAACATGGAATCAGGGGTCAAGAAGCAATAGTTCTTGTAACACCCATGGTTGTGTTGGCAGCTGCTTTGCTCCTGCTGTACGAGTTCTCTTCTCTGGACTCTTGTTCTTACTTGCTGTCCATAAATTAGGATCCCCCCATTGAGAAAATAAGCTGGCAAGTCTGGTTCTCCTTGGTGAAGTGTGCCAGCATGTGTGGGTGGAGTTAGAGTATAGAGCGTCTCTGCAGGTGTCACAGGAAGATAGACAACTCAGTGGGGTATCACTGAACAATAAGCACGAGTTGCTAGCCCACTACGACCTTTTCCAGAGTTTGGGGGTCGCCATCACAGCATGTGTTCTCTTGACATTACAGCCTGGACCCCCAGGGTTTGCCAGCAGGCATAATGTGGATTTAAATCTTCTCACAAAAAGCTCCAGAACGGAGGGTTAATGAGCCTAATACTGTTGGTTACTGAATATTTTGGCCTTTAAGTCAATGTACGTCATGAGTTTTATCAGTCTTGGCCTCATTCTTCTTCTAACATCCAATGGCAGAAAAGGCACCGCAATCATTTGCTGGGTGAAATATTCATTCCACCCATTTTCACCACTTCTATCTCCTTTCATGACTAAGCTCCATCAAATTGCTTGCATGCGTGATACTTGTGTCATCACACAGAGCCGAATCTATTTATCTCTCAGTGAAATGGAGATTGGATGACCGCTAACATGAGAAAAACCCTCTGCGGGTGTGATGAAAAAGTGGTGTTCTGGAAGAGGACGGCGTTGCAAATCATTGCTGGCAAAAAGCGGAGACAAACATACAAAGATTTCCGAGCATTTTCACGGCCCAGTCACACATAACCGACACCATTTCACAGAAGATTGTCATCTTGGGGGGAAAAAAAAGGGGAAAAAACTCTCACACCTCTGTATTTCAAAGTCAGTTCTCCTCCCCCTAAAACTCCACGTCAAGGCAACACACGCTGCTGTGATTACCGCAGTCTCTCTGTACTGGCTCCGGTCCCCGCAGAGCACTGCCACAGCCATTACTCTCGCCAGAGACTTTCAGGTCCGGTTCTGGCCTCCTTTTAGTTGGAAAAAAACTTGTTAAAAGGATGAATAAGAGAGGAGAGTTGTGAGAGCTGTGAAACCAGGCTAGTTCAAATTGGGCAAAGGAGGTCGAGCACAAACCACTGAAGGGGGGGAAGAGATACAGAGAGGAGGTATGACGCTGTGGTTCACTCAGGCTTTTGAGCCACAAAGTCTGATGCAATACATTACTGGCAAGGCAATAAGCGATTTCCAGAAAACGTTTTAAGAAGGGTAACAACCATATTCCCACAGCCAGGGACAATGCAGCAGCGTTCCAGCACAAGTACCCAGTTTTGAAGGCTGTAAACTATCGAGTGGAATGCCTTTTTCTTTTTTATACTAGTTTTCACATCGTTTGCATGGAAGGAAAGAGCCAGAGCCGTAGCCACTGAGTAGCTGATAAAAAGCAGGCTGAACATACAGCATTTATGCTTATACAGGCTAGTGAAGCAATACATTTCTATCACAGTCCATTAAGCTTATTTAGTACCTCAGTCAGGTTATATATACATCTCAATCAAGTTAATTATTTATGTGGCCTTATAAATATTCATATGCACAGTAAACTATTAGGATACACTTTAGAAGCTTTGCATAAAAGCAGGAAAGCTGAGATCTCTTTCACCATGCAAACAGATAACATTAAGTGTCAATGGAGAAGTGGGCGCTGCTGAAGTGTCTTTACTTATCTTTAATGGGAGTAAATATATTACATTCAGTGAAAATCATATCATTATTTGTGAAAACCACTATTTAGCCAAAAAGTACAGGAACATATCCTATTAAATTCTCAGCATTTGATAATGGTTTAAAATCAATTCTTCAAAGTGCCAATATTATGTGGACCCTGTACATTTTGGAAAATACATAATTTACAGTCAGTTCTTCAAGATGACGTACATAACCATTCTGATACATCACACGCATCCTTTATGAGGACACTGGTTTTCAAAGATTCAGATACAAAATAAGACCTTGGAGTGATAATCTCACAATAACACACATAATAAATAAGGCGCATAATAAATAGCTAGCCTAGTGAACTTAAAGTGAGTCAGTTCAGACATATGTTTGCACATACAGTCTTGTGAAAAAGAATGAGCAATGTTCTATCAACATTTACAGGACCAGGAGCTCCATTTGCACCATTTAGTCTTCCCCAAACCTCCCCCCCCCATCTGAACAAACAGTAACCCGTTCTTGCACCATCACAGCTTTTACCCTGAGGTAAAGGTATATACCAATGATGGCACAAAAGAGAATGATTGAGTACAATGCAATTCTCAAACATGCATTCAGCTACCCACAGTCAGCCATTGGAGTCCATGTCAAATTCACACAGTATTGCTGAAAGCAATGGCCGAGGGAAGTGCTGCCTCATAGGCTGGCTGGACGACTACGCAGTCTCTGTTCTTACAAGGTCATTCTTAAATCACATAAGACACACGTTCCAGTTTCACAGAGGGATGATATTGATATCACAGCGTGGTGACGGCAAGACCACGCTAAACCGTCTCTCCTCTTTTCTTTCTCTTGCTGAGCCCGATCAGGCAGAGCGGTAGAACTAGGGCTGAGAGAAAGAGAGAGCAAAGAGAGCGCTGGTGCTCCCAGCAGATTGCTGTAAGTGGAGCAGTGGACCTCGGGGAGCAGACCTGCCGGATGGATGGGACCGCATTTCTTCAGGGTTTCCTTCCCCTCCAACTGTCCTTGCTCATCCTTCCGATCCGCAAAGAAGGGCCAGAGCTGTCCCAATGTTGGGGGGAAAAAAAAGATGCCAAGGCCATGCCTCCCTGAGACCACCTCCATACAGAGTGCACAGAATTCCTTAAGAGACTGTCCATGGCAGTTTTAAATTTATCATCAACATCTGCTAATAAATTACATTTATTTAGTTTGATTTAATGTTTTCTTTAACAAAGATTTTAACCCCTTAAACTCTAGAAACCCGTCAGCAGATCCCGACTTCAGCTCCTTACATACCTACGTACCTTACGCAGAGTATCATGCAAAAGCAAAGAGAGACCACCCTACATTTATTTTATTTCCAGTAAAAAAGTCATTAAGTAAAGGTTATCACACAGTGTCACTGATGCAAAGCACCGCTCTTATGAAACACCAAAAACTACTGGAGTGCTAAGTGTCCGCATGTGGAGAATCTTCAGCCTACTAAGCGAGTTAGTAAGTTGCAAGCGGGTCCATGATGTGCGCCATGTCTAAAACAGAGCTTTATTACAGCTTTCATTCTTTTCATTACACTTTCTTTTTCAAAGAAATCTGCAGGGATATTTTCCTCACTTCCAGTTCTAAGTTCAGTTAGAAGATTTGCATTTTCTGCTTCTCACAATCCAAGTAATCCCAAACACATTCTATAAAGTTGAGGTGTGGGCTCTGGGGAAATGAAATAAATGAGGGTGGTCTCAAACAAGTGCACAGTACTGTATTACTTTCACAGTATTTACTAAATAATTCATTGAGATTAATAACTGAGGAAAATGTTTAGACTAGTGGTTCCCAACCAGGTCCTCAGGTCCCTAACATTTTTTGTATGAGGGGTCCTGAGGTCTGGAATAGGAACCACTGGTCTAGACTTTAAGGGCTTAAAAATGTAGGTCTTTGTCACTTTTTTAACTGAAGTAGTGGTGTGCTTTACCTCACATAAGATCAGCTTATTCCTCTATCAGGAGACAATTGTTTCTTTCTACAAGAGCAGTGCTGTCCTCTCATAGAGTTGTTGGTAAAACTGACTCACCTAGTGTCCATTTATAGACAGGCAGTGGTGATCACTTGAGGCTCTTTCTGCCACAGCTTTCTATTAAAACACTGTAAAAGCTATTTTTACCCACAGTCACTGTACAAAAAGGTTCAGCTTCGATTTCTGTTTGCAGTATTAAAAAAGTGAGAGAGAGTAGCATGCGGTTAATAAAGGTTAATGAGTGTTAAATTCCCTAAGAGGGGTCTGAGAGCACACACATAATTCCCAGCTAGCAGCAAGAGCTTTAAAACCCCTCACTTTAAGAGAGGATTTTGATTTGGCAACATGTGCGTGGGCCTGCAGTGTCATGTTTGTTGGTGCAAAAAACGTGCTGGTGGGTACTGCTGAGGGTGATTTACAAACGTACCTCCGCAATGATTGAGTTTTAGACATGGATATAAGACACGTCATTCAGTTTTATCAGTCATAGCTTTTGGCTCTTGGCATCCCTGTTCATTTCAGAAGGTGAAGTTTGATCTCAAGAACACATGCTGTTAATTTACTTATCGTGAGCACCACTTGAAATGATTGGGGATGCTTAAGCTAAAGTAGACGCACATAGACACACTGTAGTACCCACAACAACAACAAAAAGAAAAGAAACAGTTCAACAGATACAAATTTGAGCTAAATGGTCACATTGCTAGATGATTTCTTCCAGGTCAGTTTTTCAGCAGCGATTGCAGGGTCAATGTGAACTGCCTTCCGCATCTTTACACTGAGCAGTATTGGCCTTGACACACAGCTGCTAATGAGGTCTACCTGTGTAGGTCCAAAAGGGCCAACAGAGCTTCATGCTGAGCTGTTGGTGAAACTGGCTGCAAAAACCCAAATTGAGGTTTGAAAAGAAAAAAAACTGAAAGTCTGAAAAAGTCTACAGGTCAAATAGCTGTGTAAAGTACCTCCACAGGGAGGGAGATGGAATGATAAGTGCAGAAGTTCTTTGAGTAGGAGTACGTTTGTGTGTGTGTGTGTGTATTGCTCAGTTCACACTCAGCCGACCAGACGATGATGGAGTTTTAGACATTGCAGACAGCAATTTTAAAGAATGCCACCACTTTAGCACTTTGTGTTGTGGCTTACTATGTTGTGTTACATTTTAAGGCCTAATAGCTTCTAGCTATTAAGCAGGTAAATGACCCAGTAAAATATATTATATTTGGAGTAACAAGGTGAATAAGCTCCCTTTAAATATCACTGTAATGTCACACATGTAACCAGGAAAGTACAATGGAAACCCCCCAAGTCCAGGTAGTTATATGGGGTGAAAAAGGTGGCACTAGGTATGGTATGTATCTGTTTATTACCTAGAAATAAAACCAAATCTAGGTTGTAAATGAAAGCAATGATTCTTACTAGGGTTTTAGTAGGTCCTTAACATTTACTTGCCTGCCTAAACATGTGACATTTCAGTAAAATTTTGTAGATTTTTGTACTTACTTATTTCAAGTAATTTCTCCATTTATGAGATATTTTACCCTCTGATTAATAGCTAGAACCTTTTAGGCATTTCAGTCTGATCAAGATTGCCTTTTTTTACACAAAATAGTTAAACAATACTTCAAAGTTTGTACTCAATTACCTAGTTAACAGCTACAACCTATTGGGCATTTCAGAGTAATTTAGTAAAACTGTTTGGAATTTACCAGTGTTACCCAAAATAATTATCTAGGACTATAATGTTTGTACCTCACACTTACTAAGTTAATACTGTAGTAAGCATTACAGTTGTCTTGTAACTTTTTGGCTTGTCTTAACATTGTTGTTTGACACCTTGTTATGACTTTGTCTAAGAATCCTATCACTATACCATTTACCTTAATCCAAAACAATGAATGTAGAATAATGATTTACCCAGTAATCTACGGTTTTCAGTTGTTTTGGTTTGATTTCAATCGTTCAAACAGTAACTTTCATGGACCATACAAGCTTGTCTCGCTCTATGCCTTGTTGGTCAATTTAAAAAGAACAAACGAATAAAGGAAAACCGGACCTTTTGAGGGATCATTGGGTTTCATGGATTTTAGCTCTACAGTCATAAAATGATGGATGATTTTCAAATAACTGGAGAAAGAGTTCTTCTCTTCCCTGTCCAAAACTCTGCCATTTTTAAAGCTTTGTAAGGTTGATGCATGTTGATTGGTCAAGTCGAGAACTGATCTGATACTGGGCAATAAAAGTAAATCAATAATATACTGATTATTTTGACAAATAATAAGGGTTTTAAAAAAGGGACAAACAATTAAAATAAAGAATAACAAAACAGCCAAAGACATTAAAAGAATCAAAAATATAATGTAAGATGAACCAGGTAGCCTTTGGAAAGACTGTTTTTTTACTGAAAAGGAAAATATTAATTAAAGATTGTATTTAATTGATGAAGTCATGACAGCCGTACACTGATCAAATTATAAATATCATAAATCCATCTCATCTTGTTGAATGAGTGTGAACTAGACTTGTGAATGTGTTTTCAGGCATCCTGCTGGGCGAGAGCCTGCAGCTCAGCCGTGTGAAGGGAGTGCTGGAGGAAAACGTTCTTGCGGCTATACATGTGCAGGGACAGGGGACCGCGGGGCGGCTGGCCGAGGCGTCCAGTGAAGGAAGAGTGAGGTCGGGTCGGTGGTCCTCTCTCACTTCGTGGCCCTGCCCCCCTCTCACTGTCTGAGGACAGGCTGCGTGAGGGGCTGGCTCTGCTGGGCAGGCTGGAGCTGCTGCCGGCCACAGCACGAGGGATCTGAGATGGCCCTAGAAGTTCTAGCTTACGTGGCGCGGTCACCTCAGACGACTCTGCTCTCCTCTGTCCCGGTACCACCTCCCGCACTCCTGCTCCTCCACCATGGCTCCAGGCTCCGTTAGGGCCCACACGCTCCTCTGGCCCTGTCGGAGTGCTTCTAGACTGCTCGACGGGGGACGGTCGCGCCTGCCTTCGCTCCCTTGTGAGGCTGCTGCTGTTGCTGTTGCTGTTTTGGCTTGTGGCTCGACTTGGATGAATGGCCTAATGAAACAGAGGGGAAAAAACAGAAGCAGAAAAAACTTGACCAAGAGCAAATAGACCACTTAATTCGATGACACTTTGACAAAGCTCGCTTGGGTTCCTGGAACCTCTTTTAATTGTTTCCCAACCAACTGGAACCTCTTTTGTGGAGGAGCTGGCTAAGAGCACGTGTTGCGGGGAGGTGGCACAATCAAAAAAGTCACAGTGGAGCTTAAGCCACCTGTTCAGTTTTTCACACAGCATGGCCTTGCTTACGTAACCATTCCACCATTACTCACAATGCTAATGAGCACAGTAAGAAAACAGCCCCAAAAAAAGAAAGCTGAAAACTTGAGTTTTATAACTCTTTAATGTCCACCCAAATAACTGTCTACTCTTCTCCTTTAACAAGATGATGGCTCAGTGTCTTGTATTTGTACTTGTAATGTATAAAGCATGATCTAACAAAGCAAATTACCATTTTGAATTTAAATAGGACTTTATTTCACTCTTTTATAATAAAACAAACCAATAATAAGGCCTTAGCAACTAGAATTCTGTTCTGAATGTGTGCATGCTCACTCAAAGTCCATCACAGTGCATCAAATAATAAAGGCAGCATCGTGCCTCTTTTATATGGCAATCAGGGGTGCTGAAAGAGGTGGGTGGAAGGTAGGATTAGAACAATTCCATATGCTCTGAAGAGACAGGGCACCATTAAGATTTCACCTTTTTTTGCTTTGCATGTGTTTTTAGGTTTACTAAAAGATTCTTAATTGAATAATAATTAAAGACTAATTTCAGATACAGTGGCAGCAATGCATCTTGCATTCTGTCACCCCCCCTAAGGGTCCCTCTGTGTAAACATCTAGTGGTTTCTCCATTCATGGTGTGTAAAAAGAACCTGAAAGACCTGAAATGTATATGTTTAACTTGTGAAGTAGAAAGTGGTTTGGTGTCTGCTGTGTATGCTAATGGAACTTTCTTGCCTCCTCTTCTTTCTTTCTTCTTTCTGTCTGGGTAAAGTAAGAATTAAAACCAGAATATCCATTATTGGCAAAAATGCCTCCATTTTGCCAAAACTGAATTTCATGATCCATAACTGGATAAACAAGTATGTTTATGGAGATTTCAATAGGCAGCTTTAAATAATGTATCGATCCTAGACTAATCAAAAATATTATTAGCATTATTGAGTTGCTTCAACAGCCAAGATGCAACACTTTTGAGAAGCAAAAAATGCATAGAGTTGCATACAGTATACGGATATTCAGTCATATTATACTCATATTCACAGTATAATACATACATGCTTAATAAGAGATAGATTTATAGATGTGAAACAAAGTAAAGAATGGGATTCTGAAAACTTTTAATTCTGTGACAGGTTCGGCTGAGGGAAATGAGGTAAGGCAAGAGACCCGCACATATTCCCAAAATTCCTAATGGTCCCTCTGATAGATATAGAAAACATGGTAGCACACAGTAAGATCTAATTCCACATGATGATACCTTTGACCAATGTTGACATGTGCATGCCACAACTACTGTAGAGGAAGATTTAAATTAATTCAACAGGACAAAGCTAATGTCTTGAATTTGTCACCGATGAGACACGAGGGATGGCTACTACTAAATACATAACGCTTCTGAATCTCAGTGCAATCTAAGCTGAGTCAATAGCCAAAAAAATAAACAGAAAAACACTGCAACGACAATAACTTTGGCTGCTTCATGTTAATCTACTCTGGGTTGAGAGAGGAAAAAGTTGATTAAACACACTGTTGCTTAACTAATATGATAACCTTAAAGGCATGAAGTGGAATCGAATTGAAAGCAGACTGCTGTAGAAATTAAACAAAAAAAAGTGTGCTTCGATTTCTGTGCAGAACAAGCAATGATGATACAGGAGTGTGCATAGGAAAGTAAAAAATTTTGTAAATGTGCAGGAGGAAAGGGACTCTTGGGATCATCAAATAGTAGCCCAGAGGACAAATCCAGCCAGTGAGCAATTTCTCTCTGTCCCCAACCCATTCTCAAAAAACATTTTTCTGTTCTATTAAAATTATGTAGTAGGGTAAAGCATTGAAACCTATTCTAGCATCAACTAGGGATGTGCATTCTGACTAATTTCAATATTCAAATATCTATAAGACTTAATGAACTGATATTTGGTTAACTGCGGAGAAGGAAATTAACTGAAATTAACACAGGGCTGTAGGCATACCATTTTAGATCAAAAACTGGTGTTAAGAAGCTAGAAAACAGCAGAACAAAAAAACAGCACATGTAGACGAATAATGAGAAAAGACTTTCTTTATTCAAAAATAGCCTAAGACAATTGGAAGGTTTTCTTGTAGGACGAGTAACAGAGGCGACCTCTTTAGAAGAACTAATGAGCTAACTGTCCTTCTCAACACCAAGTCTTTTCTTAGTGGACGATATGCCAAGGTGTTACTTTGTCAGAGGAATATATTCTCAGCGTACCTAGACTTAGATAATATCAGCTAGAGTAGTTAGTTTAAATTAAAACTGTGTCCCTGGCAATGTGCTCATGTTAAAGCAATTGTGTAGTAGCAAAGTATAATACAATATACTTACTTGCCAATATAAGCAAACCTCATCCTGTACACCACTGTTAACACATAAAATCAGTATTTTGCTGAACTGTTGACCAGCATATGTTCTCCATCTTCCCATAATGGAATGTAGCCAAATGGTCAAATAGTGATTTCAGGCATTTGGAACGGTTAACCAAATACTCAAGTACTCGTGCACACCCCTGCATCAGCACCTACTGAAATGTATAAATAAAGGGGATATTCTAATAATGCAATATAATATAAAAAGAGTATTTTTTCATGAGACAGTTCTCAATTTGTCCCACTTTGTAACCATGGATAGCTTGGCTTTGGCTGTATACACAGGAGTCTGTCCCAAAGAGTATTTGCTCCAAGGGAGTTTGGCCCCAGGTCTACAGACAGTGGTAGGAAGGTATACAGAGGGTGAAGGTGTGGACGTAGACTGAAGTTCAAGATCTGCAAACTTGGTGTCCTCTCAAGTACACACAGTACAGCACTCAGCTTCTCATACACAGAGACATAAAGGCATCAAAGTGGGTGACAGAAGAGAGGGAGCATTTTTGTGCCTGCTTTGGAAGTAGGCCAGGCACACACATAAACACATGCTCACTCATATACACACCCACACACACCTTTACACCTGCAGAGTCACACTGTGCAAAACAGGGGACTGGAGTAAATCAGAGTAATTTAACGGTCCCAATCCATTTGGGTCTTTATTAGCGCGTGAAGAAACCAGTCCGGCGCTAATGGCAAGCTCCTGCTAAAAGCCCCTCTGGCTGATTATACCCAGTAGCCAGGAAGAAATAGCATGCTTGTTCGCCACACTCTAAACCACCCATACACACATACATGTAAAATGTAGCAGATCACAAACACACGTAGACCTAGAACTACAATAAGAGAACAACAGATACTCTCAGGTTTCCAGACTAAGCCACAGGCTATTGGCAATAATCCATCCACATTGTGAACAGGGCTTAATGCATGATTGATAAGTGGACCTTGTCAACAGATGTCTAGCCTATGTATTATTCCACCAAAAATCAACTAAAGGAGTTATAGCCCAAGCTACAAGAACTAAAACATTAAAGACTCTGAGTGGTATTTATTGTGAAAGGAAACAAGCCTTTGACTTTTGTTTTCTTTGCTTTTTCTCTCGCCGCCCTAGAATCATGCATAATAAATGGATACTCAACAGTGCCTCTCTTGTGTGGACAAAGAGGTTCTCTCAAATCAAGAGAAAAAGTGACAACAGCCCATTGTCGGCTTTAGACAACAGCGACGCTCTTAATGCCAAGCATGCTATTTTCCTCAGCCCTCCCGGATGAGCTTGGACGCATTAAATGATAAATGTTCCTTCATCGGCGTTTTCATTGAGACAAGAGGGAAAGAAAGTCATTAGCTGCAGTTTGGAGCACACTAGACTGCTATCTTTTGTCACTGTCTTGCAAATGTCAGAGGCAGAAGCAGGCTCGTGTTCAAGCTTTCCGCCTGCAGCTCCTGCAGCGCCAGCCGTCTAAAGCTGCGAAAAGCGGCTCCGGCTTGCGATGATAAAGAGAAGCTGCCAGAGAGAGAGAGAAAAAAAGGGAGAAAGAGAGAGAGAGTCTGGAGCACTTGAAGACCCCACAATCGCATAAACTGAGCAAAGGCTGCTTTCCACTGGCCTGGCCAACCTGTTGCTGGGCACAGGGACAAATAGCCTGTGTCGTCTGTCACAATGACAGAGTTTGGATTTGCTAGCAGCAAATGTTTCAAATCCTAGTATTTATGGTTGCGACTGCTTCAAAAATTGTGTCAAATTGTGCATGATTAAAATGACTTATTCAAAATGACTACCATTATAAATATATATTATTTCTATGCATTATTCTAATCAAGACATTCATGATCTTCTTGTTGCATCTGCTTCAAAAATGGAGTCAAACATACATAATTCAAATATTTTTTTTCCAATAACCCCTTCAACGCTAGGCTTATTATTCAGTCGTTCATCTTTTATTTATTCAATAACTACTATGAATTATTAACTACTATTAACTAAATATTAACTGCTATTAAACTATACTCAAGTTATGAAGCTTTTAGTATTAGAGTGGACTCACATTAGAGGCCTTATGGTTTAAGGCGTTACAAATACTTTTTGTTATAATATGCTTTATGCAGCAGTCAAACCAAGCTGAGACTCTCGATCACCTTAGTAACAGCCGTATGTTATTTTAGTGCCCTTTGGAATCAAAGCTGCTTGGAGAAACTTCAAATGGCGGGTAGCCTGGCAAGAAAAAAATAAAAAGACTTAGCAATAACTCAAATTAGTCTAACCTTTACACAGTCAGCTGACCTAAATAACTGTAGCCTTTATTAGTCACTCCTAGAGATACACTGTTTACACTTATTTCTTTTGGGGCCACCTGAAGGTCTCCTTCAGGGATGTTCGAG